GACCGCAAGTTCCACACACAACTGCGTTAGCTACACTTGCAACCTACAAATACAACAGTGCAATACAACAGTTTTCCACAGTGTGATTTGAGATGGAATCCAAAGATACCTTCAGAGATTTGCAATTCGATGGTAAGCCTTCTGGATACAGAGATTTTCGCCGCAAAACCATTCTTGCAGTTGCTGGACTGGAAAATCGCCATGCACACCTAGCTGGGCCTCGCCTTTTGCAACGTTTGCAAGGCGAAGCATGGAGAGCGACGGAACATCTGAAGATTGCTGATTTGCGAAAACAGAATGGATGGTTAGAAGTGATTCATGCCCTTGACCTCCACTACCGTTTTCTGCCTGAAACAGAGCTCCATGAAGCAGTGGAGGAGTTCTTGTTTTCTATGAAACGTAGGCCTGGAGAAGGAGCAACTTCTTTCAGTTCAAGATTTCGCACTCAGTTAGATCGTGTCCAAACACTGATAGCTCAAGAGCGTGAGATGCATCGCACCCGCAAAAAGCCCAAGCGTGGTCGCAAAAAGCGAGATGCCACAGATGTTGACATGCCTGAGCAACCATCGAGCAGTCTAGAAGAATCAGATAAATCTGAGGATCCCAAAGATCCTGAACAAGCTGAACCTGCTACTGAGGAAGAAGCAGCCCCTGCTGGCGCCACAGCATCGGCTGCAGCTGCTGGTCATTCGACCGACGAAGCTGAGCATAGTGCTCAAACTGGGCGTTCAAAGCCTCCTTCTTCTGCTGGTTCCAAGCGTGAGAGAGCTTCACATGCGTCAAAGGGTTCACGAGCTTCCCAATTGTCTCGTGGAACTCACAAGTCTGACCAAGAGCGTGACAATCGTCGCATGATGGAGATGCTTGGATCCCTGGAACATGGACATTTGAAGCCGAAGCCTATTTTTCCTCAAGCAATTCTGGGTCATTTATTCATGCGTAAGTTTGGGTTGAACCGTGAGCAACGAGCTCACATCATTCGTTCTACAAATGGATCATCAAGACTGGAAGATGTCGAACGCATTGTTCGAGCCTCTGACTTAGAAGAATTCCGTTCTGACGATCGCAGACGAGAGGAACGAAAGCCCCTCAAGCATGCCAGAAAAGATGCCTATGCTGTTCAGGCTGAACAACAAGTTTTGGTTGCAGATGATCATGACTCCTCTTCAGACATCATGAATCCTGAAGATGACTTGGAGTCCGAATCTGATGATGCCTTAGCTGTTGAGCAAGACGCTGGTGATAGCACAAATGAAGAGTTACAAGAGATCTATGAAGTTCAGAAAAAGGCCAAGAGAGAGTTCCGAAAGAATTTCAAGACCTACAAAGAAAGTCGTAAGAAGGTTCGGGAGATCAAGAAGAGCCGAACACCATACCTGCCTGTGGTAGCCTTGAATCAGTCTGGAGAAAATGCCTCCTCCAGCCAAGCTCCTGTAGTCAAGCAAAACTTTGGGTATGACCGTAAACCTTCTGGGAAATCTGCCCCCAAGAAGAAGCCTGATTCACGATTCTCTGGAAAGCGTGAGGAAGCTAATCTCACCACTTCTTCGGTGGTTGCTGAGCAGTTTTCCTACATGGTGTCTTCACGGAGTTTGACTGAAGAAATCTGGTTGACTTCTGTTCCTGATGGTTTTGCAATTATTGACACAGGCTGTACGACATCAATTGTTGGTTCTGAAACTGCTGAACGATATAGCCAATACATGCAGTCTCTACATTGGCCTGCCCCAATTTCCTGTCAGCTGCCGCCCGTGGAGTTGAAAGGCTTCAACGGGAACCGTGAGGTTTCCACTGATGGTTTGAAGTGGACTGTAAAGCTGGGAAGTTTGTGGGGAACTATCACCACTTATGTCATTCCAGGTGCTGCACCTTTCCTTTTATCTCGCCGAGTTCTGGAGGGTATGCAAGCTAGATTAGACCTGGGAAAGCTCACCATCACTTCAGAAAAGCATGAACTGTTTGATGCACCCCTTCGACAAGCATCCAATGGTCATTTGCTCCTGCCGTTGATGGTTCAGCAGCCTGAGTTTGCAACCAATGAAGAGTGTGCCCATGCCGAGCACCTCGTAGAGACCAATGAGCCCAATACCAATCAGAGCCCTGAGCATTCGCATTGCCCTTCGCACTTCCAGGACCAGGGTTGTCAGAAGCCACCCAATAAAGGTCGGGTAACTGTGAGTGATAGGCGCAAAACCCTTCAACATGTTGTGAAGAATACTCGTAGGGGGATAGTTAATGTGGATAGATTCAAGTCGGAACTGGTGATGATTTTTGGTAAGAAAGCCCATGACATCAGCCATGCATTTGTTGCATACCGCCCCAGACTTGAACGTATGCCCACTGATGCGGATGTCATGTCATATGAAAGATCCGTAGCTTCCCTTACTGATGATGGGGTTTTTCATGTTGAACCGTGGAGCACACGAAATGCAGGACCTGTCCGCCGTCCTGTCAGTCAAGTGAACGTAAGCCTGTTTGCCTACGTAGCCCTAGGTTCCACTGAGGATCATCAAAGCTCCTCAGGTGATGCGCACCATGATCACCACTGTTTCTGCTGCAGGGAGTGTGATTCAGAGGGCGAGGATTTGAACCTCCAAAATGATGATCAAGTAGGGGTCGATACCGAAGTACTTTATGGGGAAGATGTGGATTGGAGCAACCTGCCCAATAAGAACATAGACCCTGAAGATCTAGAAAAGTTGAAAAACAATATCCAAAAGCTTAGGCACACCTATGCACAGTTTCTCATGACACGTTTGTTAGGAGATCCCAACGTCATCCTTGAAGAGTTAAGTGATTGGCTAGGTCCCCAAGCCCACAAACTGCATGAGACAGTGTCGCTGATCGAAGTGTTCACCGGCAAAGCACCACTGTCCGACCGGACTGAACACCAGTGCCAAACTTCGTGCATTCGTATCGGCCTCGACCATGGACAAGACCTGAACAAACATGATGATCGCAGAAAGCTTCTCCTTTTAATAGCATACTGCAAGCCTGCCGATGTTTGGATAAGTTTTCCTTGTGGTTGTTGGGGTCCATGGAGCCGCATGAACATGCACCGTAGTGCCGAGCTGTGCCAAGATGTTTTGGATGCAAGACGTCAAGCGCGACGCCACCTTTCTGTCGTGCCTGAAGTGTGGAATCTTTAGCAGTCCTTGGGTGGACATGTACATGTTGAGAACCCTCTCACATCCGATGCCTGGAAAGAACTTCGTTTGCCTCATGCCTATGTTGTTCGCATCGACCAGTGTAGTTTGGGTCTCCGATGTGTTCGCACCAATTTGCCTGTACTAAAGCCAACCAGAATTGTGACCTCTTGTCGAATGATGGCTGAACGTTTAGTCCAGTGTAGGTGTGACCATCGCCACCAGCATGCGCATTTGGAAGGTAGTTACAAAGGTAAGCCACTGACCTCCTATGCCGAAACATACCCAAGAAAGATGTGCCGAGTGATTGCTGAAGTCATCCACAGGCGTGTTCAGAGCCAAAAGCCTTCTCTGGACATTTTTGCCGAATTTGACGATGAATTGGAATCTGCTGATCCAGCAGAGCCTGCTGATGTTGTGAGGGCGGATGAAGAATCAACCGTTTCCAAACAGCGTATCCAAGCCATGATACGCAAACGCCATGTGAACACCGGGCATGCCTCCAATGAGCAACTTTTGAGGTTAGCAAATAGATGCCAAGTGTCCCAAGAAGTCAAACAGCAAATAAAGGAGTTTCGTTGTGCCATTTGTGATGAACACAAAGTGCCTGCCTCACGCCGTCAGTCAGCAATTCCACATGCCGAGCAACCCAACCAGATTGTCGGTGTCGACTTTGTCCAGGTTGAGCTGAAACATGTTGATAATAGTGGTAAGGTTGTTGAGCAAAAGTTTAATGTGTTAACTTGTGTTGACCTTGCAACAGACTTTGCCCAACAGGTGATTGTTGAAAAGGGTTCCCATCAAATGTCCAAGGCTTTTCATGAAGTATGGACGAGACCGTTTGGTGCCCCAAAAATCATATTCACCGATCCTGCATCGCCTACCACTTCAGCTGATTTCCAACATTACATGTTGATGCATGGCATCCAGCTCCTTCACTGTGGTACCGAAAGTCACTGGCAGTTGGGAAGGGTTGAAGTTGCAAACCGCGTCCTTCGCGGCATGGCCCAAAAGGTCTGGCAAGATACAGAAAGGCCTCCAGCTGAGGTCATAGAAACTTGTGCCAGCATAAGAAACCAGCACCTCCGTAAGCATGGATATAGCCCCAGCCAATGGTTTCTAGGTCAGGATCCCAAACATGCAGCCATGTTAGAAGATGTTGATGAGCAACGCAATTTTCCTGTCCAGTCACAAGTCCTTGCCGAACCTGAGTTTAAATCCAAAGTGCTCCTGAGAGAAGCCGCAGCAAAAGCTTTTCTTGAAGAACACTCCAAAGACACTTGGAGGAGAGCGCTTGCAGGACGAAACCGTCCAATCCGTGGGCCATACCAACAAGGGCAATTGGTTTACTTCTTTCGCAAGCGAGCCCGTGGTTTGCTATCGACTCGTCATGGGGTCTGGTACGGGCCAGGAAAAGTCATAGGCACCGAAAGCTCTTCCAATAATGGGGTAGTTCCAAGGGTAGTCTGGGTAGCCTTTAATGGGTTCATTTATAAATGTTCACCTGAAGGACTTAGACCCCTAACCGAAGATGAACACCAGTTCAGGGAACTTGCCAAGAGCCTAGCACAAGGTCGTCTTGACCCTGCCATCGAACATGCTGAGCAAAGCCTTTCAAGCCGATGTCCCCAATACCAAGACTTGACCAATGATATCCCTCTTGAAGATGATGAAGAATTGAGTCAAGATATGGAGGATGATCCAGATGATGGGGATAGTCCGGATGACAATGATGATGATGGTAATAGTGGTCCCCGTAAAAGACGTAATAGCTTGGATGATGATAGTGGTCCCCGTAGGGTAAGACTTCGTATCACCAGGTCATCCGACTATTGGCAAAAACGTGCTAGGGGCATGTCACCACTGGGTTCACTGCAAGAGGGTCCCATTCCTCATAGGGTTACTTTTGATGAAACAAATCCCGATGAGCCCCCAAGTAAGCGTAGAGCAGTGTTGGAAGATATCCCTGAAGAAGAAATGGAAGAGGTTCCTGAGCCACAGGATGATGGGTATTCTCCTTCACTAGCGCCTGATGACGCAATGCCCGAAGCTCCCATGGAGCCAGACATGCCAGAGTTGCCGCCTGCAGCCCCAGATGACGTGTCCAATTCACATGACGAAGTCATGGATGACCAGCCGCCAGAGCACTCAGTTTCCAGCGTGCCGGAACCTAGCACTAGTGTTGAGAAACAATTAGAAAAAGCCATTCATCAACCTGTCCCTGAAGATGATGAACTCATGGTTGATGTAGGGTCTGAAAAGTGCCGCCGTTCCGAAAGCGTGTTGGAAGTTTCGCTGAACATATGTCGAGACGACATTTCCGGCGATCATTTGTGTCTGTGGCATGTGCTTGATGAGTGTCTCCAAGTTTCCACTCCAAAGGCCAAGCTCCGAAGGGTTCAAGTCAGCTACAGAAAGTTGTCACCTTCTGATAAGGAGTTGTTCAAAAAGGCAATGCAAAAAGAGTGGCAATCTTGGGTTGATAACAAAGTAACTTCTCTTTGCAAAAACCGGGGTATTTCACCAGAAAGGGTTATACGTGCAAGATGGGTACTCACATGGAAGAAAAGTTCCGACCCCGATGACAGGTCCAAAGTTCCAAAGGCACGATTAGTCCTAATCGGTTGGGAAGACCCTGAACTAGGTAAAATTGCCACTGATAGTCCAACACTTCGAAAAGAGAGCAAGCATTTAGTCCTTTCTATTTGTTCTGCCAAAAAGTGGAAGGTGTTTGGGGCTGATATCAAAACCGCATTTTTATCTGGGGATAACAGTGCAAGAGAAATATACTTCAAGCCACCACCTGAACTCAAAGAATGGTTGCAGCTGTCCCAGGATGATTTGTTTCGTCTTGAGAAAGCCGCTTACGGCTTGGCTGAAGCCCCAAGGGCATGGTTTTTGAGACTCTCCCGAGAGATGCGTGAGGCCGGACTGCAGCAGAGTCAAATAGATCCCTGTCTGTTTACTCTCCGTGTCAAAGGTCAATTGGTTGGAGTATGTGGTATACATGTTGATGACCTCCTGGGTGGAGGAACACCAGCCATGGAAGCAATCCTCACCAAACTCAGAGCCAAACTTCCTTTTGGGGATTACCGAACCTTTACCATTCGCTACACAGGCATAGAAATACGCCAATGTCCAAAAACCTATGAAATAGAGATAGGCCAAGAGACATACATCGATGCTTTGGAATGTGTGCAGACCAAGCCTCTAGGTGTCGCAAGCACGCCGCTTCCGGACAAATCCCTTTTGAGGACATGTGCTGGCCAACTTGCATGGGTCTCCAATGCAACGCGCCCAGATCAAGCCTTTTTATCTTCATACTTGCAGGGAGTTCAAGATAAGGGGTTAGTATCTCATGTAGCACTCTATAATAAGGGTATCCGTGAAATGAAAGAGAAAAAGGTGTGTCTTCGCTTCCCCAGCAGTGTTCCAATAGATGATTGGAGACTGGTTTGCATAACCGATGCCGGATGGGCCACCCGAGACAATGGAGATAGCCAAGGAGGTTATCTACTTTTGATAGCTGAATCGAAGATGCTCAAACGTGAGCAGGCCAAATGCTGGCTCGTCGATTGGTCGTCCAAAAAGTTGAAGAGAGCTGTTCGCTCATCAGTTGCTGCAGAAACGTTATCTGGTCAGAATGGTTTGGATGCAGCTGAACTTTTCCAAGCACTCATGGAAGAAACACTGAGAAATGTCACTCCCCGACAATTCCGTGAGATGACCCCCAAACATGAAACAGGTTTGGTGATAGATTCAAAAGGTTTTTATGATGCCATCACCAGAAGCTGTTGTTCACAGGCCGTTTCTGTAGAACGAAGGTTGCAGATAGACTATGCCATTGCAAAAGAAACCATGCAGAAACAAAACATCACCCCGTTCTGGGTAAACAACTTGCGTATGGCCGCTGATTGTTTGACAAAACTCAAAGGAGAAACCAAGCTTCTTTATGAGATTCTTGAGCGAGGGGTTTACCAAATAAAAGTATGTTCCGTTTCTGGTCGCCGAGAGAAAGCAGGCGAGGGTTCCTAAGTTTTCCACAATCCCTTTTTTTTGCCAGATCAGCCGCTCAGCCGAGCATGTGGGGTTTCAGTGAATCTGTGGATAACCGCCACCAATAAGCCTGATGTGAAATAATGTATAGTGTATAGATAAGTTGGGGATAGTGGGGATAATTAAGCATAGCCAGCCAAAACTGCAAGCCGTTGTGAAGCATGATGCAAGTTGGAAAACCTGTTTGCGTCAGCCTTTTTGCCTTGTCAAGCAGTCTCAGTGACGTGACTCCCAATCCATAGGGTAGCAATATGGAGGCCACCAAGCACCAGCGTGTGACAGCAATGTCAGACTCAGTGCAAGGACCACTGAGTGAACCTGAGATGCATATGGCCGGTGGTTTGCTCGCCCGTGCCATTACCTATGGACAGTCTCAAAGGTTGTCCAAGGTGATTTTCAATTCGATTGGTGGGAAGCCGCTCGCAGTCAATGCCTATTACTTCCTGAAGCACACTGGAGAAGAGGTCGGCACCATGGCCGATAGTTCAAAGCGCCAGCGTGATTTCGATTTGGAAAGTTGGGATAATGTGACGGAGTCAGGTGTGAATTCCCCGGCTGCTTCGAGCCGTGCTGGATATCCTGATATCTCCTACCAAGGAATGATGCCACATGTTGAGCCGCCATTTCCAGGGTCTGGGAAAGGATTCACCAATGATGAAGATGTGACGATTCCCATGCCGAATGATGTGGCGAATGTGGATGAATGGTCGCAGACCGTGCTCAAGCTCCCCAAGGTCGCTGATCTCAAGATCACCTATGGCCAGTTTCTTGAGCGTGCAAAGAATGATCCTGATCTCTCCAAGTATGCCAACTACATCATCGAGACGTTTGGCCCCCATGTGAAGAACAAAAAGACCACCAGCTACACCCAGGGTGTGGATTTTGCCCATTTCCTGTGCCGTGTCAAATATGTTCAGCAAAGCCATGGAGGTGGATTCAAGCGCGAATTGCGCAAGTGAGATCACAGAGATCTATGTGCATGGATTGGTCGCAGCTGCAATGAGCCTGCGCAGTACAATATGGAATAGATATTTTATCTCCTTGGGCATATCCTCTTGGATAGAGGGCGTGTGAAAGTGGGTGATTCATACATGTCTCACATGTCTTACCTGCCAGGTCCATAACCACCACTTGTGGATGTGTATCCGCGATCCTTTGCCCAAGGGCCCTTGACGCCAATTCGAGGCGTGTCGGATGGAAAAAGCAATGGATGCGTGAGCCTTGCGGCTAACCGGATTTGTGCTGTGCTGTTGATCCCATTGGATAGATCCCTTGTGCTACCAGCTTCGCACATATATATATATAGATATGCGTAGATATGTTATGTGTAGACATGCGAAGACATGCGAAGACATGCGAAGACATGCGAAGACATGTAGACATACGTACAGGAATATATATATATGTATGCATATGTATATATATATATGTATATATATATGTAGATGAAGACATAAATAGATATAGATAGGTAGAGATAGATATAGATAGACATTGCTAGATAGACAGATCGGTAGGTAGGTAGATCGCTGGATCTAGGACATTAATCAACATCATATATAATCATGTACAAGCATATATAACCATATACAACCATATATAACAATATGTAATCATATATACATAATCGTATACAGTCATATATAATCTATACAGACTATCTACATGTTATATCACCATCTACAGCACCTCTACCTGCCCAAGGCCCTTATCCTTGATGGAACCCGTGGGTGCGGACAACAAAGGGGCCGAGGGACATCATCATGGCATGGGCGACTTGTCCTTTCCTTCTGCCGTGGCCTCTGCTCTCATCAACCACATGCTGATGTGCCTTGGGACCTTGGGATGGGATGATTTATGGATATTTATGGATATGAATGATGTGAACATACATGAACTTATACCATCTGGTCATTTAACATAGCCATGGAAAATCCCTTATGAATGGAGGTTTTAATGGGACAATCATCTATAAATGGGCCATTTGCCATGGCTATGTTAAATAACCAGAGGGTAGCTTCATGGGTAACATAGGATCTTTAAGCTTTCTATCTTGGAATCCATGGGAATGCCATGTTGACCATCTCCAAGTCAGCGTGGCGTTTTGGGATTCCAACCATCCCCAGCCATGGTGACATGGTGGGTTTAATGGCACTGGGATACCCTCTGGTTATCTATAAATGGGTGAATAGCCATGTTAAATAGCCAAAGGGTATGTAAAAAAAAAGGATATTTTTGTGGTTGTTTTATGTTTTTTTTTTTTAATGGGATATACAATCAACTTGATGGGATATGGTTTAACGTCATTTTGGGGGGAACCGAGGGATGGGGACGGGGAACTTAAGTCAACTTGGGATGTCCAGATGGGAATAGAGTTGGTTTTAGGGAAAACCTGCAGATATCATGGAAGGGAATCGCAATTGTGTTTTTTTTTGCACACTATTTTTTAAATTGAATACCAGCAGAAGACATGGGCATTGTTGGTAGTGACGCATCAGTCCTTTGGACCAATTAAAAAAAACTCCATGTGTGCACATGCTGGGGTGATGCAACAATGCCTGGTTCTCAAGTTGTGGGGAGAAAAATCAGCTCTGACTGTTACGGATGATCCAGGATGATCCGTGATGATCCGGCTGGATTTGGTCCCGTCCTTCGCAGGTTTGGCATGTGTTGTGCCTACGGTATGATCATCTTCAGTGAGGAAAGGCATTCAGATCACCGCGCATTGGGAGTGAAGATGCTCGGCTTTTTGGGTTGAACATGCCCTTCGAAAACACCTGGCACCACCATGATTGGCC